GAATAATAAATCATGGGGGCTACTTGAAGAGAGGCAGGACATCGGGTGGAGGGCATAGGGAAGAGGATGCAGTGAAGAGCCCCGGCTAAGGGAAAGGGGACAACTCCCGAATGTAAATGGTGTGGGGCTGGGCGGTCTTCACTTGGCTTATGTAATAAACTCTCAGGGTAATTAGAAAATGAAACAGCTGGGTCGTTTTCCAGGCTCTTCCTGCTATTTGAAAAGGAAGGAAATGGATGAAATTGGCCAGACCGCCAATATGGTCGTCTCTGGTTGATTCTTCCCTCCCCAAAGAGCGGCTTTTATTTCTGTAACCCTGTGAGAACATTCCTGGACAGCACTGTGAGTTAGGCTGTGCACGTGTTATTATCCCCACTCTGCAGTCAGGCACCTGTGGTACCCAAAGGAGTGACCAGCCCATCGTCAGTTTATTAAGATCCTACAAGATATTGGGCTGAGAATTCTCAAGGCTCAGAGGTGGATGGTTCCTCTGAGCCCCTCTGGAGCTCTGTTCCACCACTGCTGACTGGTACAAGCTGATCAGTGACCTTAACACCCATACACAGCCCCTCCCATAAGGAGATAGAACAGTCCTGAAAATCAGCATCCTCCATAACTCGGGCAGCACTCATCTGGCCTCACCCGGCTCCAGCTTCTGTGTCCTAAGACTGCTACACTTTTCACCGCTGGTTTGCTCGTGTAACTAGTGAATGTGTCAAAAACAGACCAACACACCCACAAAAGTCAGCTTTATAGGAAGTATCAGGTTACTCCTGAAGCTTGACTCTGGAATCTTAAATAATTAACCTGCCTCCTATTTTTATTTTTACCTTCCGTGACAGTGTTCTGACTTTGGAAAAAATTCTTTTCCATAATTTTGAAATGCACAAAGATATTTTTGCAAGTACCTTAGTATATATTTTTGAAATATCCCCATATTTTGTTCCTGAGATAGAGGATGTTTAGGAAAGAGATAGCTACATTTGGAGATGGCTAAAGATCTGGATTTAAGTCAGGGAGACCTGGGTTCAAATCCTACGTTTGACACTTACTAACTGTGGGACTGGGGACTATAAGTCTCCCAACTTTACTGAACCTTCTTTATCTGATAAATCAGAGGGTTGGACTAGGTGGGCCCTGAGGTCCTTTCTAACTCTAAATCTGTGATGCTGTTTTTCTGTGTTTTTCTACCTGGGTTCAAGTGTAAGAAGAAGAATAATAGCTGACATCTATATAGTTCTTTAGGTTTCACAAAGCTGCTTTATAGATGTTATCTTATTTGATCCTTAGAACAATTCTCTGAGATAGCAGCCATTATTATTCCCATTTGACAGATAAGGAAACTGAGGCTGAGAGAGATGAAGCTGTTAAGGGTCTGAAGTAGACTTTGGACTCTCCTGTTTCTCAGTCTCTTTTTACTGCACCAGCCAGCCCTCTAAAATCCAGGTCTAGGATCAGACAATACCGTAACTGATGCATGCCTGAGTCTTTCCTTTCTCATCCACACCTATTGCAGGGGACCAATCGCTCCATCTCAAAATCACCTTGTTTTCCCTGTGAGGGAAACTCCTTCACTGCCAAAGATAGTGAGGAAGGGTCTCGTAGCCTGGCATTAAAGGGGCTAATTCTCTTCTGAATGAGTAAAAAAGCCTTTAGTAGGCACTTACTCTGTGCCTAGTGCCATGCTAAGAGCTGGGATGACAAGTGCAAAAGTGAAGGCAGTAGCTACCCTCAAAGAGTTTCCTTCCTAATAGGGGAAATGCCTTACATGGGGGAGCATTAGCTAGGGGTGGGGTACTCTAGTCCAGAATGGCATAAGGGTAGGGAGTGGGGATGTAGAGCAGTAGACTGATATCCACCATTCAGAAACAGTGGCAGAGTTAATTTAATTATGGCTCATGGTTCCAGAATTAGAGAACTGGGCAAAAGAGACTTGAGAAGGAGTATGTCTCTGGTGTGGGTGGTAGAGTGGTCAGCCTGGAGGCAATAGGAGAGATGTCTGGAGAAGAGTGAGTGGAGCAAAACATGGTGAAGACTTCTCCTGAGGTAGTGTCTTGGAGAAGCAGTCACCAAACAGGAGAACCAGGTCCAGAGGAGTTCCTTCATCCGTGGTCTCTGATTTGGGCAGTGAAGCTACTAGCAGGAGCCTTATGGAGAAGGTGGGTGGAGATGAAAGAGAAGCTTTTAAGAGTCAGGAGGCAGGCAATACACATTGATTAAACACCTGCTGTATGCCAAGCACAAGACAGTCCCTGCCCTTGAGGGGCTCATAGACAGCTAAGTACAAACAAGAATCTATACAGCATGAATTGGAAATAATCAGTAGAGGGAATCCTCAAGGAGGATAGGGAAAGGCTTCTTGTAAAGATGAGATTTTAGCTGGATTTGAAGGAAGCCCAGAGGTAGTTAGGAGGAAGACCATTCCATGCATGTGCAATGGCACCAGACAGAAGATTTTTGGGGGCAGAAGATGTGGGCTCAATCCCAACTCTTCTGAACATGGGAAAATCCCTAATTTCTCTGAACTTCTGCTTTTTTTAATCTGTAAATTAGAGATAATAATACCAAAGTAGCTGACTCACTAGGTGGTCATTAACTTCAAACAAGATGGTGAATGTGAAGCAGTTATTATCATTGTCATTATTATTAATGCAGTGCAAACCCAGAGATCTCACTGACTGACATCTGCTGTGTCCGAGTCTTTGTAGAAGGCATGTTTAATGGCAGATGTTCCCTCCTGAAGGTGTTTTAGGAAGGATTCATTGTATAGGAAACATATTGAAAGGTGGGGAGCATCCCAAGGAAGTTAACCTGGACAGGGAAGCGACTGTGACAGTTCATAACCTAGGATGAGATGCTGCTGGTCTTGGAGTTGGCCTGAGGCGCTTCCTGGCTCTTTGACCCTAGGGAATTCTCCTACCTCTGTCGGCCTCAGTCTTCTCATCTGCCACATGGGGATAATAATAGCACCTACCTCTCAGGGCTGTTGGGAGGATCAAATCTAATATGTGTAGAACACGTTGCAAACTTTAATGCACCGTATGTATACACATATGTACACATATTCACCTATGTTTATGCATATATATGAATGGATATTCTTGTATATGAATACACATTCATGTCTGATTCTATCCAGGTGCACTTGGTGTAGGTAGATGGCAGATGATTAGAGAGAGCTCAGCTGTCATCATAAAGTACTATCAGGACTGCTTGGGGGAAGGGCGGTGACCTGTGTCATAATGTCCCCCTTAAACCTGAAGTTATTGCGCAAACGCACTGCTTACAAATGGCCGCTAGAGGCTCCCAGCAGTGGGGTGCTAGGCAAGCAGTATAGCCGCTCAGCCTCACTTTAATCACCTGAGAATCTTAAGGTGCTCTACAAGTATTGTCGTCAGTGTTATCAGTTAAAGGAAGTGGAGATCCCTATCCTGGAAAATGGAGGGTTCAGGATGAACATGATAGCAGTCCTCAGATATCTGAAGGGTCGTCATTGTCATCATTATTATTGTTATTATTAATGGTCGATGTCATTTATATACCACTTTAGGATTTATAAAATATTTCACAAATGTGTCTCATTATGTTTGCCAATGTCCTTGTGACACAGGTGCTGTTATGATTCCCATTTTACAATTGAAGAAACTGAGGCAGGCAGAGGTGAAGGCAGAGTCACACAGCTAGATTTGAACTCAGGTCTAACCATCTCCACGCCCGGTGCTCCAACCATTATGCCACCTTGCTGCTTCATTACATCTGTTCTTTCTGATCCCAGTAGGCAGAAATAGAAACAATGAGTGAAGGTTTCAGAAGGGCAGGTTTAGGCTTGATAGCAGGAAAACATTCTAACCACTAGAGCTATTGCCAGGTCGGATGAAAGAAGGGGGACCTCTCTCCCCAGAGGTGGGTGACCATGTGGCTTGTGTATTGTAGCAAGGATTATTCCTTTTTTTTAAGGCAATTGGGGTTAAGTGACTTGCCCAGAGTCACACAGCTAGTAAGTGTCAAGTGTTTGGTCTGAGGTGAGATTTGAACTCAGGTCCTCCTGACTTCAGGGCCAGTGCTCTATCCACTGAGCCACCTAGCTGCCCCAAGGATTATTCTTTTTTAAAAATGTATTTGACTCGATGGGCTCTCATGGCCTTTCCATCTCTGAAATTCTGTTTAGAACTTGGTGAAGAATAACACTTATTTTCCAAAGAAGGAAAAATGAAGAGAAATTCTGTGAGATAGAATTCTATACCTGACCTTGTTGGGTGGAGCAATGGTCCTAGAGTCAGGAAGTCCTGAGTTCAAATCCAGCCTCAGACACTTCATAGCTGTGTGACCCTGGACGAGTAATTTAACTGCTTCCTGCCTCAGTTTCTTAAACTGTAAAATGGGGATAAGAGCACCAAGCTGCTAGGGTTGTTGCGAGTATATAATGAGATGATATTTTAAGGTTTGCAAAATTAAAGCACTCTATAAATTCTAGCTGTTATCATCCATATTGTTGTTTTTGTTATTAGGATCACTGTTACTATCACTGCTGCTTTAAAATGATGGTCTAGAACTTCTCAAAAGGAAAGCTGTAACACCTAAGCACCGTCATGGCCTCCTCTAGAATAGACCAGGACCACGGAACTTCTATGTGATGTGGATTCGCCTCTCTTTAACCAAAATCCGGTGAAACACTCATCAGGAGTGTTGCCAAGGGGATTGTTGGTTTGATACAATTTTTTTTTTTTGGTTAGGCGATGGGGTTAAGTGACGTGCCGTGTTCACACAGCTACTAAGTGTCAAGTGTCTGAGGCCAGATTTGAACTCAAGTCCTCCTGACTTCAGGGCCGGTGCTGTATCTACTGTGCCACCTAGCTGCTAGAAAGCTTCTCACAGTCCTGTTGGACTCTGTAATGCAGTGGACTTAACCCCTAATTGTGAAGCGTGCTTTTTTTTTTTAGTAGAACTCTTTTGTTTTTAAGTCTGATCTTTTTAACTTTTACTTTTAAAATCTCTCTCAGGATCAGAGTGGTCCCGAAGCCACAAGTAATGAAGAAGGAGCCAATACTGAAGCCGATCTAAAGCAATTACCAGAGAGTGACCGTACCCAACTGGTAGGTATTCCTGGAATCTGTCTCTCTGTTGGAAATGAATTATTCATATCTTATACTCATGTAAACAAAATCAGTTGTTAAAGAGTTACTTAAAAATTAGCTTACTGTTATTCCAGTATCTCACTTTTTTTCTTTTTTCCATGATTTGTTTTTAATCATTTCATTGGTGTATCTTGTTTTTATATAGCTTCCATTTTCCAGGGCATCCCTTCCTTCCCAGTGATTATAAAGAATGCAAACAAAGGGCAAAACAATTCGGCAAAACTAATCAATGTTTTGAAAAAGTCTGACCATTACCCCATTTCATACCCATAGTCCTCCATTTCTGTTTTCTCTAATCCAGGATTATTGAATTCAATAAGTGTGTGCAAGCCTCTGTGATGTGCATATTTGCCTTAGGTTTAAATCTACAAACCTATTTGCATTTCTAATATTGAAATGTTTGTTTCTCTCAATGAAGACTTTTTAGCCTTATTACATATTTCTCTGAAGGGGGTAAAGGAATATCTATTGTGATTGGTGGTAGGGATTGGGGGCTGCAAAACAGCATAAAGTAGGTTGACTTGAAATCTTTGTTCTAATCTATTGCCCGAGATGGTTGGTCAGGGTTGGGATGAGGAACTGAAGTCCTTGACAGGCTTCCTCTGTCCCTTTCCTCTCCCTTCCTCCTGCATCATAAATCGGTTTTTCAGACAGCATCACAGCAGATGATTCCACTTTCTTCGCTGATGATTTTTTTGGAGGGGCAAGGCAATGAGGAGCTAGTAAGTGTCACGTGTCTGAGGTCAGATTTGAACTCAGGTCTTCCTGAATCCAGGGCCAGTGCTCTATCCACTATGCAATCTAATTGCCCCTCTGCATTGATAATTTAGCCCCATTTTCTCTTACAATTTTATCTTCAAGTGTGTGTGTGTATATTCAAAAAGATCTTGACAATTCAAAGAACAATGGAACAAAGAGGAAAAGAAATTCAGTAGCAATAATTGTAAAGTTGTACAATTGGGTTAAAAAAATTAATGCCACAAATACAAAGTGGAAGATTTCTCTCGGTAATCAGACATAGACGTAGGGGTTTGGGTGGAATACAAACTCGGTGTCAGTCAACAGCTTGACATTGGTATTATTGAGTTGTTTCAGCTACGTCCAACTCTTTGTGACCCCATTTGGGGTTTTCTTGGCAAAGATAATAGGGGACTTTGCCAGTTTCTCCTGCAGCTCATTTTACAGAGGTGGAAACTGAAACAAAAGGTCACACAGCTCATAAGTGTCTGAGGCTGGATTTGAACTCAGGAACATGAGTCTTCCTGATTGCAAGCCCAGTACTCTATCCACTGCATTACCGAGGTGCCCCCACTTAAGGATGCACCGTGTGTCTTGTGTTGTGCAACAAAGATAGCGACAAGACAGTTCTTGTCCTCAAGAAGCTTGCATTCTACTGGGAAGAATACAGTGTTCCAGGAATGGCACCATGAAGCAAAATGGCATCCAGAGGTGGGTGGCAATCAAGATAGTGAAGGGCCAAAATAGGATGGTTGAGGAAATTGGAGATTTATCTTTAGCCTTTGGAATAAAAAACTTAGAATAGGATAGAATAACTGTGTCCAAGTCTATGAAACACGGCCACAAAAAAAAGGATTCACTGTATTCTGCTTATCCAGAGTGATCAGAAGTAGCTGGGACAGGTATCAAATCTAGAGAAAAAGAGTTTGGCTTGCTGTGAAGAAAGTTTCCACACCAGGCCCCCTCTTCAGCCATTCTTTAAAAACCCTGGTTATCTTGAGCCCCACCCCCACCCCTGCAGAGCCCCGAGGCAGTCTTTACCACCCCATCCACTGTACCCCACAAAGCCTCCCTAAGGACTCAGATCCCCCCGCGCTACCACTGCCACATGTACAGAAAATGCCCGAGGTCACCAGCAACTGCCTTCTTGTGTCCATATGTGGTTCAGTTCTAACCTTCATCCAGTATTTTCTAAATGGTATGTGCCGGTCTCCATGAAGCCTTTTGGGATACAGAAAGAAAAACAAAACAGTCCCTGCCCTCAAGAATTTCCTCTGTAACAAGAGTCCCTTGGATTCTACTCGTGGGAAATCACCTCTTTTTCTAAAGCTGTTCCCTCCTGCACCCCATGTTTTTAACAAAATTCGTCGTGTCTTAAAGCCCAATGAAATGGAATTCTAGCCATACTGTCCATGGTCTGAATGAATTCTCTCTCTCTTTTTTTAAGGCAGTTGGGATTAAGTGACTTGCCCAAGGTCACACAGCTAGTAAGTGTCAAGTGTTTGGTCTGAGGCCAGATTTGAACTCAGGTCCTCTTGACTTCAGGGCCGGTCCTCTATCTATTGCACCACCTAGCTGCCCCTGAATGAATTCTCTTAAGAGTTGCCCAGAAGATCCTGGCCCTGATGCTTACCCACGTCACCTCAGGCCAGGAGCTTCATCTCCAGTTTCCTCTTCTTGGTAATGATGGGCTTGGTCTGTATGTCCTCTGGTTCTAGATTGATGACTCTCTTTTCTCTTTTCCCCAGGACCTAGAAAGGCTATTACCCTGTACTACCCATCTAGTCAGTCAACCAGCCAGCAAGAATTGACCAAATAATTACTCTGTGCCAAGCAGTGTGCTAAGTGTTGGAGGCCCCTATTCTGACAAGTGTTTACATTTCAATGGAAGAGATAAGAAGTACATTTAAAAATACATCCAGCATAAATGAAAAGGTTTTAAATACATACACATGCCCATACTCTTGGCAGCAAAGGCCCTAGCAGAGGTATCAGAGAAGGCTTTAGACAGAAAACAGTGTTTGGGCTGCATCTTAAAAGAGAGGTTTTCTGTGAGGCAGGGGTAACAAGGGAGTAGATTCCAGGATGGCCAGTAGCACTGCAGGGAGACAAGCGATTCAGCATCCTGTGTGAGAAACAGAGAAGCGGGATCACAGAGCTGGGGAAAGGAGGGGGGAGGAATGCCCAGTGAGCTGAGAAAGATAGATTGAAGCCAGATCGAATGAGGCTTTAAAACCTAAATTAGATTTTACCCTGGGGCAGCTAGTGGTGCTGGGGCTGGAATCAGGGAGACTCTAGCCTCTGCTAATTCTGAGCTGAACTGGTTCTCAACTACCAGGAAAATAGATATTTAACCCTGTGCACCACACAGTAAAGGTGGCTAGGTGGCTCGGTGAATACAGAAAGACTCCTCTTTGTGAGTTCTAATCCAGCCTCAGACACTTCTTAGCTGAGTGACCCTGGGCAAGTCACTTAATCCCATTTACTTCAGTTTCCTCATCTGTAAAATAAGCTAGAGAAGGAAATGGCAAACTACTCCGGTATGTCTGCCAAGGAAACCCCAAAAGAGATCGCAAAAAAATTGGACATGACTGAACAACGACAACGTATTTTATTCTAGAAGCAACAGGTAACCCCTAGAGTTGGCTGAATATGTGAGTCAATGATCTTTTCTTAGATGAAGGAAAATTATTCTTGTTGCTCTGTGTGTGTGTGTGTGTGTGTGTGTGTGTGTGTGTGTGTGTGTGTGTGTGTGTGTGTGTTATTGGTCATGAAGAATAGATGAGAGTTTCTAAGATCAGAATCAGACTTGTTTCCTCCTCTTCAAGACTGAGAAAATTTGATCATTTCTTCGGTTTATTTTTTGCTGGTTGTCTTTGCCTCAATAATATTGCGGCAGTGGAAGTATCTGAATTTGAACAAAGGTTTTTCGGAAGTTAAGCCCAATCATTTCTGACACTGGCTTAATTTCCCATCTCTCTGCCTGCCGCACTTGATTAGAAATTGTCCCTAAGAGCATATGGAGTGTTCCCCTTATGTTTTAAATATAGTGCATGAATAATTATGTCTGCCATTAAAGCCTCAATTGATTTTCTCTTTTCTTAGACCTAAACTCTCAGGAGGAAGATCTTGTTCTTTTTTTCCTGCAAGATCTTGAGCTGTGCTCCTGAAACCAGTCTTCTTTGCTAATTTACACTCCACCAGCAAGCTGCCAGGGGAGCACTGGTGCCGTGTGGGAACCCACACTAGCCTGGGAAGCTCATTTCCTCCTGAAGAGCTAAGCTAAAAAATTTATACACACACACACACACACACACACACACACACACACACACACACACACACACACCCCAAATCAGGATTCTGAACATTCCCCTCTGGCATTGGGAACAAGCAGGAACAAACCAGTGTATTTCTCCTGCGTGACTTCTTTCTTTGGAGCATGAACGTTGTTGATAGCCTGAATTCTAGTGTGGAGACACGGAACATGTTTCACAGTTCGATTTTCTTTATATCTTGTACTTCAGAAAATCACTTGAGGTTTACACACATAATAAATTTCAGTTTATCCTAGGCATAAAAAAAGAAAAGATGATAAAGATGGGTCCATATTGCATGTGGGAAATTTTAAAGAAAAACTTGTGGTGTCTTTTTCCAAATGTTTACTGCTCCTTATTGAAAGTGAAGGGAATGGAGAAACTAGCCTCATCAAGGCAGTCACAGACTCCTTTAAATCTAGAAGTCAAGGTAGCTGGGTGGTGCAGTGGATAAAGTGCCAGGCCTGTAGTCAGAATGACCTGAGCTCACCTCTGTTCTCGGACGCTGCCTAGCTCTAGACCCTGGTCAAATCACTTCACTTCTGTCTGCCTCAATTTTCTCATCTGTAAAATAGGGATAACAATAGCACCCACCTCCCAAGGTTGTTGTGAAGATCAAACAAGATAGTAATTGTAAAGTGCTCAGCACAGGGCCTGGCACCTATTAGGCACTAGAGATATGTTAGCTTTTATTAAATCTCCACGGGATATTTGCAAGGAAATTTCCATGGGAAGTTGGGAACAGCTTGTGTAGCTGAATCTCTGTGTTCTTGCCCCAAAGAGACTTTTTTCCTCCTCACTTTCTGTCCTGAAGAGCTGCCCTGAAAGGTGATGGATTGCCACCGCCCCCTCCCCCCCACCAGAAATCTTCAAACAAATACTGGATGACCATTTATTGGGCATATGATTGGAAGGATTCTGTTAGTGTGTGGGCTGCCCTTAATAGCCATTGTGGTTCCTTCCAACTGTTAAATTCCATCTGTCTCTCAGGAGCATGAACTTAGCCCCAGTGAAACCTCAGCTTTCTTTCTGGTAAGGAACAAAAGTGTTTCTTATGGAAGTGAGGGAGAAAAGCAGCCAAGTAAAGCAAAATTAGGCACAAAGCACAGAACTCGTGTGTGTGCGTGTGTGTATACATATATATGTATGTGTGTATATGTATATACGTGTGTGTGTGTGTGTGTGTGTGTAATCGCATTAGCTACTTTGAGAGCTCTTTAAAGCCATGGGTACCATTCACAAATGGCCATCACCACTGGTCCTCATCTATATCTCACCACTGGACCCAGATGGCTCCAGAGGAGAAAGTGAGGCTGGTGACTTTGCACAGCCCTCCCTCACTTAAATCCAGTTCACTTGCATGTCATGACATCACCTTCCTGATGTCATGGTCCCTGTCGAGATTGAAGGGCAAACAACAAACCTTTCACAAATCAGAAACTTTGAGAGTTACAAGGGACCTCATTGGCCATCCAGTCTAACCCCCAACCAAACACCACTATGACACCCCTGACGGGTGGTCCTGAAGCATCTACTTGAACATCTCCAAGGAGGGGCAGCCCACTCTTTCCTGCTGCAGCCCATTGTACTTTGGGACAGCAGTCATCATTAGGAAGTGGTTCCTGCCAACAAGCCCAAATTAGCATATTTCCCACTTCCATCTATTGCTTCTGGTTCTGGCCTTCACACAACTGTCTTTAATATACTTGAAAACAACTTTCAGGTCTTCTCTAAGATAAACATCCATTTCTTCAAGCAGTCCTCAGGTCATCTACCATCTTGGTTCCTCTGCTCTGGACACTGTTCGGCCCATCAGTGTCCTTCTTAAATTATGGCACTTAGAAGTGAACCCAGTATTCCAAAGGAGGTCCAAGGAGTACAGCGCACAGTGGGACTGTTGTTTCTCTACTCCTGGAAGCTAGGCTCTTCCTAGTATGGTGGGATCACCCTAGGTTTTTTGGCTGCCCCAGCAAAATGATGATGATCTCAGGATTGCTGTCCTTGATAAACCCTAGATGGTTTTCAGAACAACTATTGCCTAACCATGTCTTCTCAAGCTTATATTGTGAAGTGTGTGTGTGTGTGTGTGTGTGTGTGTGTGCACACGTGCATGTGTGCACTCACGCACGCGCATGCATGTGCACATGTGCCGAAATGAGAGACTTTGCATCGGTCTCTATTGAGATTGAACTCTGAACTGAGATTGAAAGTCCTCTTGTGTAGAGATCTCGCTGATTGGAGTCTTTCACAGAATCTTATGAAGCAAGTTAGGGGAGTATGGCCTTCGGGTAGGGAGATTTACAAGGGGTTCTCAGGGCAGGAAAAGATCCAAGCTGTCAGCTCATCCAAGCTTTCCTTGGACAAGGATCCTCTCTGCCCCCAGCGTGTGGGCATCCAGGCTTCACTTGGATGCCTCCTGTAATGGAGATCCCACTCCCTCCTGACACAATCCATTCCACTTTCAGGGGTTTCTAATTATTTGTTCCCCCCCCCCATATGAAGCTTAAAATTTCCTTTATTCACCGTCTACTCATTGTTCCCACTGCTGGGCCCAGGTGTATCAAGGCTGATTCTTCCTCTACGTGAAAGTCCCGTAAATACTTGGGTACAGCTGTCCTGTCCCACCACCTCCCACTTCCCCCCAAGCCTTCTAAATGTACCTAGGTCCATCAAGGGAAGGGCAAGGTTTCTGTTAGGGAAAAGGAGGAAATTTTGGTTAAAAGGGTCAAGCCTCTAGAGGAGCGTGGCCTCATCTCCTCCTGTGGACAGACTTCTTTTCCTTCAAGGCTTGGTTCATGCTTCCAGTCGCTTTCCTGTCCTCCCCTCCTCATCCTCCACCCTCCTTCCCCAGATCAAAGTGTCCTCTCCACCCTCCAGTGTTTCCTGTATATGAGAGGTTTGGAGGAAAGATCCAGATTCTCTCTAGTTTTACTGTTTTCTTTTTCCTACCATGGCCCTCCTATTAGACTGTAAGCTCCTGGAAGGCAAGAGCCATTTTGTTTTTATCCTTATATCTCTAGCACCTAGCAATTCTAGTTAATTTAACCAGCAATTATTAAGTGCCCACAGTGTGCCAAAAACTGGGTGAGGTACTGGGACTACAAAGACAATCGAAACACTCCCTGCCCTTACCAAGTGGGCACAGTGCCTGGCACTCAGTAGGCATTCAAGAAATGTTGATTAGGGTTTGTTTTTTTAAATGTCAAGTTTTATCAGCGTCAAATGCCAGCAATGACAATTGGCTATATCTTTTCATCTGACAACCTCATTTTACCCATCTGTAGAATGGGGATAATGCCAGTTCTATAATTAACCTCATAGTCTGATTTGTTTTGTTTCTTTTTGTTTTTAGGCAATTGGGGTTCAGTGACTTGCGCAGGGTCACACAGCTAGGAAGTGTCAAGTGTTTGGTCCAAGGCAGGATTTGAACTCAGGTCCTCCTGACTTCAGGGCAGGTGCTCTATCCACTGCACTACCTAGCTGCCCTGATTTTTTTTTTAACTAGCTAGCCACTTTACAGCCATTTAAGGTTTGCAAACTACTTTACAGATATTATCTCATTTTCTTTGGTAGATATGTGCTATTATTATCTCCATTTTTACAGTTGAGGAAACAGGCTGCCATAGTTTTAAGTGACTGGCTCAAGGTCACAAAGCTATGAAGTGTTTGAGGAAGGATTTGGATTCAGGTCCTTCTAACCCTTCCCACCGTGCCACTGAGGAGGCCAGAGGCTTGCTCTGAGTTCCCTGGGACAGTGGGATTTGAGCCACCTTTTTAAACATTTTTGAAACTGGAAATCTGAGTCGTTCAATGACTAAATGGAAATGCTCTTTCTCTGCTGATAGCAACAAGCCACAGTGTAGTTATGTACCAAAACCAAGTTTTGTCCTCCTTTGTGTTTTAGGACGAGGCACCCCAGATCGTCGGCCACATCCTGGCAGCAGATGAAGCCAAGGGTGGAGAGCCCCTTCCTGACAACGTAAGTGCCTGCCCTGCCCTCCTTTGGTTCAGGGGGTGATGGAGGGTTTGTTATGGCTGCCCACGGCTGCCGCCATCATCGGCTGACTGCCTTGGAGTCAGGGCCACGTTGACCATCTTTAGCTGTACCAAGACCTGTGGCCACTCACCTTCTTCATTGTGTGGCCCCAAAGGGAGAAGACCCAAAGCCTCACACCTTGGACCCACGGTCTCCCTTGTGGATACAATACTGGCATTACCCATCCAGGAAACATAGCTTTAAGTGTAGACCAGTCCCCACATGTGCCATTCTGCAAATCATACAGAATTTTGCCAGTGGTTTGCTTCTATTCACTTCCTCTGGTGACTGTGGCAGTTGGAGCATTTTAGGGCAGCAGAATACCCCCTCTAGTCCTCTGTCTGCCTCCTAGATTCCCATTGTCCTAGCCCTCCTCCAGGAATCGGGGCAGGTAGTGATTGTCCCCCTCCTGTACCAGCATTACCATAAAGCTCACGGGGCCCTCAGAGGCCGAGGAGCCCAAGCTGCTCATCTTACGGGTGAGGAGCATGAAGCTCAGAGACCTTGGGCCGCCTGCCCTGGGACACAGAGCAAGCATCTGAGGCAGGATTTTAACCCAGATCTTCCTGACTTCTTGCTGCCCCTCCCCTAGTCAGGCTATACCTGGGGTGGTCTGTTCAGAGAGTCACAATTAAAGGACATTGATAAGCAGGATGGTTTCCATAGAAGGGCAATGAGCATAGTCCAGAGAACCCCTAGTTTTCAGTCTCTGAAGAGCTGCAGAAGTAACTGGGCATCATTAGGGCGGGGGGCCCTGACAGTTATGTTGAGGGGTTCAATTTTTTCTCTTTGGCCGCAAAAGGCTGAACAATGAGCGTAAGTTACAAAGAAGCCAGTTCGGCTTGATGTTGGGGGGACACTTCCCAACAGTGAGATCAGGGAGACCCTGAGACATGGTGAGTTCCCCTTCCTTGGAGGTCTGCAAGGGAGGCTGGGTGACCATGTATCAGGTGAGCCTTGCTGGGGGTCGTTTGGGGGGCATGGGTTGGACCAAATCATTGACCTTGAATGTGCAGTCCAGGGCCTCTTGCAGGCTTGTGCAGTCAACTAGAAGGGTGGAAAATGGTCCGAGCCCAGCTTCCCAACAGTTGCCAACCACGAGGCTCGATGCTATCACTCCCGAGGCTCCCTCAATCCCCCAGCACTCTGCCTCTTTTCTCTCCATAGTATATCCCAGCATCCCCACTCCTGAACAAAATGTAGTCCCCTCAGGGTTCTAATCTATCCACTACACAGGCACCCACGGTTCCTCGCCTGGCAGATGTCACCATTTCACAGATGAGGAAACTGAGACCTTAAAAGCTGCCCAAAGTTATGACATAATATTAGCAGAGCCAATTGAATTAAATTTGGTAAACACTTATTAAGTGCTTACTGTATACCAGCTACTGTGCTAGGTTCTGGGGATTCAGGGACAAAAATAGAGCTATCCTTGCCCCAGGAGCTTATATTGGGGTAGACAAAATAAATGGAGATGACTGGGATAAAAGCAACGTTGAATCTGAGTTAAAGCATTTGACCTTTTATGTAAGTAAGAAAGGAGAAGCCGCTGCTTGCTTAATTCACTCGGACACCCTCCAGATCCACTGCTCTACATCAGGGCCTGTTTAACCCTTTCTGGGTCATGGACCCCTTCCTTGGGCAGTCTTGGGAAGCCCATGGACTCCTTCTTAGAGTCATGTGCTCGCATACATTTTCAAAAGACAGACGATTACAAAGAGCACCGATTACTGAAATACAGTTTTCAAAGTATTAAAAACCATTTTAAAAGTTCCCCCACCCCAGGTGAGGAACCCCTGTTTGCTCTGTGTTCTGGAGCCTGGATTCAAACACAGATCTGGCAACTCCAGATGGAGGCCTCTGCATCCCCCCTACTGCCTACCCAGAGACTTTCCCAAATGGTGTTTCATCTGTGCCTCAGCACCGCCTCCTGACTCACACAGAGCTGGTATTTTTGTCTCCTTTACAAATCAGGAAAAGCTGTAAATGACTTGTCCAAAATCACACAGCTAATTAGTGCCGGGGGGAGGGGGTGGTGGTGCATTTGAACCCAGCCTGAGGAAGCTGATGTAACAAGGCCCAGGTGCCTGTCAGGCCTCCTGGTAGCTGTTAAATGACTTCTCCACCGCCAGCTTTCCTTTCCTCTGCCCCGTCTCCCACACTTACCTCATTACTACTGGCCACATATAGTACAGTGGCTTTATTTTAATGAAAAAAGTGATCACAGCAAGTGGAAAGTCTGGAAAGTCTGGGCCTCATGTAGCCCCTGTTGGACCCCTGCCCTTCTCTCATCTAAAAGGGTCACTTAGGCCTTTTCCATCTACTTCCCAGCCTTGGCCTTGGCCTTGGCCTTGGCGTGTTCTGGTCATCTCAAGGGGCTTGGAGGAATTCTGCCCAGACTGAACGTGTGCCTGGAGGTCATTCCAGAGCAATGAGCGTCTCTCAGAAACCATCATGCCTCACCTTTCCTTTTATATGGGAGGAAGCTGAGATCTGTAGAGGTTTTGTCCAAGGTCACACAGCAACTAGTGACAGAAATGAATTGGTAAGGGGCTATTCTTAAGGCAGACAGTGACAGATGGATGGATGATGGATGGATGGATGGATGGATGGATGGATGGATGGATGGATGGACAGATGGATGGATAGATAGACAGATGTTAGCCTTATATGTATATAAAGTCTATAAAATATATTACATATACATTAATATATGTATAATATATATTTTTATACTATATATATAAATATATATAAAGTCTATAAGTATATGTACATCTTTATTTTTTCAGCAAGGGAGAAGGGAGCTTTCAAATTCCTTTTTGCCATTTGCTTTGAGTTGTGGCTTTGACTGGGGTGCTCTATTTAGACAAAGCTGCAGGAGATCTTAGGGGGCATATTACCCAGCCCCCTAGCATTACTGTTGGGGAAGCCAAGGGCCCAAGAAAATTAAGGGACATGCTTAAGGCCATGAAGATTCTGGTAGATAACGTGTTCTGGTATCATGGACCAAGTGACCCGTGTGTTCACATTCTGGGACGGCATCAATCTCTCATTTAACCCAGCCAGTGCAGAGAGGGTGTGAGCTCACATCCTGGCTCCCACTTACAGCCTTCATGACTTTGTTCAGTTCGCTTATTTTCTCTGGGCCTCAGTTTCTTCTTCTGTTAAATAAAGGGATTGAGAAGCAACCAAGTGAAGTGGGAATAATCCCCATTTTGGAGTCAGAGAACCTGCACACTTACAACCTGTGTGGCTTCGCACAAGTTATATAGCCTCTTCCGACCTCCATGTCTTTCACTGTAATTATACAGACTAGATGCCTGGTGCCCTCTGAGGCTCCTGCCAGCTCTAAATCTGTAATCCTATAAGGGTGTTTTTGGAAGCCAATTGAATTTTATTCCATTTAGGTATTGGTTTTACTTTTTAAATTTTCCCTAATTGGAGTTAGTGGTAGTGGCAATTTCAGAGATCCATTTATTAAAATTTTCTTCTGCTGCATTTCAGATCTCATCCTTAGGGTTTTTGTTCCCCCTTCCCTAATGGCCTTAAAAGGGGCAGCTAGGTGGCACAGGGAATAGAGTGCCGGGCCTGGAGTCAGGACGACCTCAGTTCAGGGACAGCCACAGACATTTACTAGCTGTGTGACCCTGGACAGGTCACTTAACCTCTGTTTGCCTTAGTCCACTGGAGATGGCAACAGCAAACCATTCCAGTATCTTTGCCAAGAAAACCCCATGGACAGTATTGTCCACGAGGACATGGAGAGTCTGACATGATTGAATGCCTGATCAGCAGTGACCTTAAAAATATAAATTTAGGAACTTCACCACCTCCTCAGTGCCCTAGAGGGTCAACGCTTGTAATATCTTGGAGCAAAATCAAAACTCAGGGAAGAAAATCATTATTCTTGTCTTAATATCATTCTTGTTCTTGCCTTAATATGGTTAATTATATAAGTGAAGAAAAAGCCCAAGAAAGGATATTTCAGACACAGTAAAACCCTGGAGTTTCTGGAAGATCTGAAGCCTGGTGTCACAGGCAAAGGTGATGGGTTCTCATTGAAGATGCAGAGGGAGCCCCATGGGGAACTCTTCCAACTTCTGGTGGGCAAGCACTTTTTGTGATATTCCCCATTCTCCCGAGGAAAATAGTTACATGCAAACAATATCCCTTTCATGGATTTTTAGTGTTTTAGCACCTGGGTCTGTTCCTTTCTGAGGTCATAATACTAAATTGCTTTACAGAATAGCCTTTTGGGGCATGGGGTAGTGGGGGAGGGTTTGGTTTGTTTCACAGTCCATTAACAAGCATGTATTAAGTACTTACTTACTGCCAAGCACTGATGATATAGGGTTCTCCTTAAGGGGCTTGTGTTCTATTAGTGCTTTCATTATTAGTGCTTAGAGCTTGGTCAGACATCAGATAATATGCCAAGGTCATCCACAGCATCCCAGGCCATTGTGGTCATCTTGACTTTTGTCTTACCACTGGACCCAGTGTCTTCAGTGGGATTTGAACTCTGGTCTGTCCTTTGCACCACCACAGAAGAGCCAGGCCTTTTCAAGCCCTAAAGCTCCATATAATTGGTGGCTATTGTCATTTTTGCTATAATCATGATTAGAACCATTTTCATTCCTTATTCCCTTTTTCCACCTTGGGCCTAATGAATCATTTGTTTTCTTTCTTTTCCAGACTGTCAGCCAGGTGAAACAACCCAAATATTCTACCAAAAAAGCCATTGGTTCTGAGGAGACCTCTCTGGCCCCCTCCTCCTCGTACCGTTCCACGGACACAGAGCTCACAGGCTATGGTAGGAGACTATTCTGAGATCCCTGACAAATCCCTTTCAAGCCCATGTCGCCAGTGGGGTTTGGTTGCAGCTTGAGAAGCTAATATTTGTTTTTTTCTTCATCTCTTTCTGGCTGATGCTGCATTCCTTGAGGTCTGGCAAATAGACAGTCAGAGTGAATAATGGATTCCACCCCACCCCACCCCCCTTTGCTTTGACTGTGTAAGAGGCAGCTGAGTGATGGAATATTTAAAGCATGAAGGAATTCACCAGTGACACAGACCGGGTTTAAGGCAGTTGCCTCTGAGGGCCTTTTGCATATTTTATCATAATTCTTGTCTCCTGAGCAGCTCAGCCAGCAAGTGGTGATTTCTCAGACTCAACTATGCCATTAACTCTTCACTCTCCTGAACGTGCTTCATTTGAGCGCTTACATCACGTGTGAGCATACCACTTATACAACCTCTATGGACGAGAGCCCAGCTGACAACTAGAAATTAAGTAAAAATTGCCTCCAAATAACAAAAGTGCATTGCCATTCATTTATGAAGATTTATTAAATGCCTACTTGATACAGAGCCGTGTGGTTAGCAGTAAAGGAACTACAGTGTTGAGCTTAGACAAGGCCCTTGCCCTGGTAGATGTTACAATCTAGGAAGGGGGAATGAGACAGTAGCACGTGGCTGTACCGTGCAATATCTTACTCTAAACAAGTTACTGAGCAGAGCTCTACCTGAGGTCCAAGGGAGGTCATTAGTGGACCAGGGAGTTCAGGCAAGGCTCCACAGAGATGATGTCATTATGGGAAGATAGGGACCAGGGGCATTCTGCATTATGACCAGGAGCATCTAGATCTGTGAATGCGCACAGCTGCTGGCACGTTTGGCTCGAAAGGGTGGTGGGATTACGCGGCCTTAGAGAAGAAGGGGTGGGCATCTCATTCAGAGGCAACAGCAAAGGAATAGAAATGAGATTTGTTACGGCAGCAGAGATTGGCTCAGTTTACCTCACCTACATGGAGGGGAGTAATGTCTGAGATTAGAAAGGAATGACGGCAACAAATTCCGTAGGGCCTTGAAGGCCAGTCCAAAAGTTTAATTTGGGGTGGGAAGAGAGTAGAGAACTGCTCACGATTTACAAGGTCTATTTCATTAGGCTCTCAGGGCACTGGAAAGTAGAATCTAGAGTGTGGCTTAGTGGACAGAGGGCTGGGTTTATAGTCAGAAAGACAGGTTTGAATCCTGCCTCGGACGGTGGGCTGCTCCCTGATCCTGGAAATGTTCACTTTTGGTGGAATGGTCTCTCCAGAATAATCTCTCCAGATAAGACGCAGGCTTTTTAATGAGGGAATTTCCTTGTCTTCTGTGGTACCTGGGCAGGGTAACCTTTTTTGTAAAGATGCTGCCTGCAAATTCCACATGGTAAAGAATCATGCAGGGGGGCAGCTAGGTGGCACAGTGGATAAAGCACCGGCCCTGCATTCAGGAGGACCTGAGTTCAAATCCGGCCTCAGACACATCACACTTACTAGCTGTGTGACCCTGGGCTAGTCACTTAACCCCATTGCCTAGCCAAAAAAAAAAAAAGAAGAAGAATCGTGCAAGATGGGCTTTTAAGAAAAGGGCAGTCTTTTGGTTTTTACATTGCATCCATTCTCCTCCCATCTGGCAAAACTCCCCCCTGTTACAAAAAGTTTTTAAAAGAAAAGAATAAAGCAATTCAGTAAGTCCCCGAATACAGTGCAACGTGCTGCCCCACACAGTACCCACATCAGCAGGAAGGAGGGCGCGAGGCATTCTCTCCCACCCTCTCTGGAGCCACACTGGGCTCCTTCCTTTTGCATGCATGCTTTCCCTTCACGCGGGCTCTAGCCATTTGTTCCACATTTTCTTGTTTCTTCTTACTTCACTCAGCAGCTAGCAATCATTCAGTCAACGAGCATTTATCAGGCTCTTACTGTGTTCCTGGTGGAGTGCCAGGCTCTGTATAAATGCGTCTTCCAGGCTTGGCTGAATTCTTACTATTCATCCTTTCTTACATTTCAGCAGGATGCCATTTCAGTCAGGTACCACCATTTGTTTAGCCATTCTCCGACTGATGGATGCTTTTTGACAAAAACAAACAAACAAACAAACAAACAAACTGCTAGATCATTCCTTTTGGGGTTTTGTTTGGTTGGGGAGGGGGCTATATATATTCCTCCATTTTTTAAAAAAACTTTTATTGATGCCTTTTTCGCCTTTACAACAATGTTACCTTCTGTTATTCCCTTCCCACTGAGAACAAAAAGAAAGAAAGAAACAGTTTAGTAAAATCATCCGGCAGACAACCTTAGTTTGAGAGTGTTGGCCACGTTTAGCACCCATGGTCCCCCCTTCTCTACCAGACAGAGAAATGTGTGCTTTGTTGTCTGGTCTCTGGAATCTAAAGGTAACTCGTCCTTCTTTCCTTCCTTTTTCAGGTGGTTTACAGGTGCCGTTGTCTGTGGACCCAGCTACATGCCCTATAGTCCCTGGCCAAGAAATGATCATAGAAATCTCCAAGGGACATTCTGGCCTTGGTCTCAGCATTGTGGGAGGAAAAGATACTCCTCTGGTAGGTTTCTAGAAGGGAAATAGCCCATGAACTTAATTTGATCATGGCTTACCTTCCCTGCAGAAAATGTCCTTTTGTGTTGTGCAAAACCTCTAACATCCAATAACTGCTTTCACACTTTGGCCAATATTGAACGATGCTTTTCTCTTAGGTGTTGTCTGAGATGCTCTCTAACAGAATGTAAGGAAGACTGCCTGAAATCCCCTGTTCTGCTCTCCTTCTCAGGGAGGGGCCAGGGAGCATTAAGCCCCCCACCCCCATCCCCAACACCAGCCTGGACTGCAAGTGTCCTACCTTCTGCCTATTCTAATAGGACCCACCATGAATTGTCCAAGGCTAGCTTATTGCATGGCCAAGCAAAGCACTTCCTCCTGAAGTCCAGAATAATGCCACATCTTCCCAAGGACACAGCCAGCTAAAGCCAGTCTCTTACTGAGTCTGGGTCTCAGCCTTAAAATTCATTTTAAAATCAGGGGTCTGGGCTAATTTTTCCCCATGGTCTGACTAATTCTAAATTCCTCTGGTTCTTGTGAAGATTGGTCTGTCTAGAACTCATGACCAAGCCTCAGGCCCCAAGCACAGAAGCTCACAGAAGTCACGAAATCCACTGTGGTTCGGGGGAAAGATGGCTGGATTTGGAATCCCAGGATCATGAATGTCTGACTTTGGGGAATTCCCAGGGCTCAGTTTCCCATTTTGTAAAATGAAGCATTGGACTTGATGTCCTCTAAGGTCCCTCCCAGCTCTGTCGGTGATGCTGTGATTCAAGGTGAAATGGAATCATGAAGTCATAGCTCTGGAGGTCGAGCACCCAAGAGACCCACCCCCCCCACGACAGGGATTTAAAATGCCCTCTCAGTTAGCTGAGTGCTAATGCTGGGGGTGGGCCTCCAGCCTCTTTTCCTGGCTTCCAAGCTGTGCTGGATTTTAATTCAGGAAGACCCGAGTTTGAATCCTGCCTCAGTGAATTATAATAGCCCCTGCATCACGCAAGGTTGTCGTGTGGATCCAGTGAGGGAATCTGTGTAAAGCGCTTCGCAGCCTTAATGCATTCTCTTTTTCAGATAGCTTTTTTTTTCACCTGTCTTCTTGGTGGGACAGGTGTTGTCTGGTCAGGGAGTTGCTTTTTCAGTAGATAATCAGCTTGTAAGTAGAATGATGCCGTCCCTGAGCCGTCTGTGGATAAACAGCCTTCTCACCTCCGAGCACTCCCTTGTCTCTTCCTGTAACGCTCAGCAGGTGTCTGCTCGCGAGGTCTCTGTCTGGTTGACGAGGGCGGAAGGCAGAGGCTATTTCTTCTCTAAACTTGTCATCTCCCCCAGTGCCTAAGGACAGGCTCTTTGGCGTGGTGAAACAGTGCTGGTCAGAGACACTCACGTGAAGCCCCCTCCCCTTGGACATTGACTCCCCGCAGGGCCTCAGCAGTGAAATGAGGGGGCCGGCCAGACTCAGGGCTCCTCCAGTTCCAGATCCATGATTCTAAGTCAGTTAGCGACTCTGGGCCTCAGTCTCCCCAGCTGTAAAATGAGTAGATTAGATGGCCTCTGGGGTCCCTTCCAGCTCTGCGCCTATGATGCTAAATCACTTCATACCCCTGGGCCTCAGTTTCCTCATTTGTAAAATGAGTAGATTAGATGGCCTCTGGGGTCCCTTCCAGCTCTGCGCCTATGATGCTAAATCACTTCATACCCCTGGGCCTCAGTTTCCTCATTTGTAAAATGAAAGGGTTGGGTTAGATGTGCTCTTAGCTCTAGGTGTAAGATATGGAGCAGGTCCCAGAGTGTAGAGGCAGAGTGTCCTCCAGACAGTTTCCTCCTTTGCTTTCATGAATGAATGCTTAGTCACTCTTACCACCCAACTCCCCTGGGCCCCCCATGGCCAATGCTTCACAAACCCTCTCTCTCCCCTAGCATGATGATGCATCACAAACAGAGTGTTTATGGGTACATAATAAATATTACCAACTTATTCCTTTACTGAAGCCAAGAATCTGGGGGGAGAATTCCTTCCTTAAGAGCTGTTTGAAGTTCATAATATCTAGTTCTGGTGTCAATCCTGGAGTCCTTCTGTAGGTTAAGTGCGCTTGAAAGGAGGCATGATATGCACCTTTTCTTTTCTGACCTCAGGGATCTCTGCCGAAGTCATACATCTAGGTGATCTTATCTTACCCTGAGGTTAAATGACGTAGGGGAGAAAGAGGTAGGGAGTGGTTTAATGGGTAAAATAACCGATAAAGGAGAAACAATTTTCCTTTTTTCTAATATTGGTGCTGCACAGGCACCATGATTGCTGCTCTGGGCTATGTTATCCAGTCCTTTCCTTGGACCGCATCCAGTTAGGAGGAAGGCAGCCAATGGGAACAGTGGGGGCATTTTCAAGGCTCTAATCTTATCAATATTTCCACGTCTGACCTTGATCATCCCCGAAAGTGAGCAGGCTTCTCCTCCTCAGGAGCATGTGGATTCTGGAACCTGGTCTTTCCCTCAGCTTGGGAATCGGGGTCACTGCTGTACCCCCCAAAGCAAGGGGAGGAGAACAGGCTGTAATCTGCCCCACCTGGTGGGTGTTCCTGGGAGGGAGCATTCTGTGTGAGGCAGCATTCCATCGTTGTGCTTGTATGTAGCCAGTCAACAAGCATTTGTTGAGTGCTATACCTGGAGCTCGGAGGAGAGAAAGATAGTGAGAGGTCACCTGCAGAAGCGCCACTTAGCATCCCATTGCCCTCTCTGTAACCTGGCTTTAAAAATGAATTTTATTCTTTTGATTTCGCATCACTTTCATTTCTAAATACGTCCCCCCCTCCTCTGTGTAGCAGGGCCTCCCATAGAATAAAAAAAAAAAAAGAGGGGGAAAAGCCGTTCAGTGAAACCAATGACAGCTAATGATAACAGCTGCATATATATACATATGAATCTCTGTGTAAGTGAGCCCCTGTGAGGAGACGGAGTGCCCGTTGTTTTCCATGTGGCCGAGTGTCTTATTTGATTATTTCCTGCCAGATGAGCTCTGTGGAGTATTTTTTTTTCTTAAGTTTGGTTAGCTTTGGCAGACCACCCCTAAAACGATAGCATTCGGCCAGCAGCCTTTACATAGATCATCCCATTTGATCCTTGGAACAATCCTGTGAGGATGGTGCTAGTGTAATCCTCCTTTTTTAGAGGAGAAACCTAACACACAGGCAAGTCGAGTGACTTACTCCAGGTCACATATCTGCTGTTGGCTTAAATGGGATTTGAACTCGAGTCTTCCTGACTCTAAATCCAGAATTCCATCCCCTATGCCATTGATCTACCTCCTGTTAACCAGCACATTAACCAAGTCTGGCTGTGCAGTCCATGCTCTTCACCCATAGTCACCCAACTGTTAAGAAGGGAAGGAAGAAGGTTTTCTTCTCAAAGGCATTCTTGTAGGCCTATGAGTTAAAGTTGACTTTGATGGTGGTGGTGTGGCGGTGCCAGTGGCAGTGGTGATCATGAGGTTGATGATGGTGCTGGTGGCAGTGGTGATGTTGGTAGTGATGATGTCTCCACATAGCTATTGGGTAGCAGAGAGGCTGCATGGCTTACAAACTCAGTGTGAGTCAGTGGTGCGACTTGGCCACCAAGAAAGCTATTGTGATCTTAGGACACATTGAGAGAGCCAACTGTCTAGAATGAAAGATGTGATAATCCCACCATACTCTGTGCACACCTTGATTGGACCAAGGGAATTTCAAATTCCCTCAAACCTGGGGCCTCTAGTCCAGACCAGGCTCCATTTTTCTCCCATCTCTAAAGGCCCAATCGTTCCCTCAACCTGTTCCATCATGGTTACAGTCACTGCTTATGGATCACCGAGCTGGTACGGGAGAGTTGAACTCACAGGCCAGACCCCTGGGAAAGGAAGGCCCTTCTGCAGCCTTCCTGATCACAGTGAGAATGAGTTAGTTACGGCGATGATCAGCATAGAAACCATAGCTGCCCCTTTTCCTTTGCTTTGTAGGGACTCACCTTTTTTCACAGAGATAAAGGCCAGACCCCTTGTCTCCTGGCTTGAGCCTCACCCCAAGAAGCTTAAACTTCGTTTCCGTGGCTGCCTTTTGCTTTTGTTGAATTTAACCCTTCAGCTGTTAGCACTGATTTAAACCTCTGAAAAAATCGATGTATATGAATTTCTATATATTTAAGTGAGCCCAAGTGAGGGGAAGGAGTGCCCATTGTTTTCCATGTGGCCGAGTGTTTTATTTGATTATTTCCCGCAAGATGAACTCTGTGCAGTATTTTTTTTTAAGTTTGGTTTGCTTTGGCAGACCACCCCTAAAAACTGAGCTTTCTCTGCCATTATTGCTTAAGTCATATATTTTTACACCAAACATCTTATTACCTCGGCTTTATTATTTTAAAATCAAAGCAGAGTTTGCAAATGTCCATGACTGCAGAGCAAAGGAATGTTAATGAATGGTGCCATTGAAAAATCTACGTTGGGGCAGTTCTGACCTTACAGAACATAACTGTAAGCAAAAATAGGAGGCAAGCCGAGTGAAATTTAAATAAATAAGGACCAGATGGAACCATAGGGACCTATAAAATGTAATGCAAATATTATCCATTTCCCTCAAATAAATCTATATTTCAGTATGAAAAATTATATTTATATTGATGATGTGGGCAAACTTTTCTTATGAAACTTGGCAAGTGACCCCTGTCCGTAATAAGATTTTGCAATTCAATGGCAAACAGGCTCCCCTTTGACCTCCTAAAGAGAAACATTTCAGTATCGCAACCCATAAAATGGTCTTACATGAGACCACCGATTCATTCTTTGCATTATATTGGCTGTTTTATTGCTGAGATATTTAGTTGAACGTTTCAGATTGCTGTTAATATTGGATGAATGTCAGCAGGCGGGGTGTGAGAGTCTTAAGGTTGGGGCCAGTGGGAAGGAGAGCCATTGTACCCATGGTGTTATGTCAGGCTGTCTTTGGGGAATAGCTCCCACAGATCTTTCTTGGTCTCCTCTAC